CGGGGAGTAGAAAGGAAGGAAAAAGACAGACACAGAGTGAAAGATGATTTAATTGATTTTCTTTCAGCACGTTTTGTGTTTATCTACGAGATAAACTGCATAATATTTGAGTACGAATGTGTATGATGGTGAAGCGGGAAATGGAAAGGGAAGAAATGTGAAAAGGGGGAAAAAAAGAAAAGAAAAGAAAAGAAAAGAAGAAGATGAAAAAAAAATGAAATTAATACTTTTTCAAACTAATCAAAAGGATCAATCGTGAAAGTAACTCTTGAAACGTAGATAAATCAAAAGCACAGGAGGAACTCATCGATTTGAAGAAAAAAAAAAAGAAAAAAAAAAAAAGGTTAAAATTACTCTCCATTGGGAAATCGAATGGATGAAAAAAGGGAAGAGGGGAGGGGGAGGAAAATGGTTGTTAATACTTTTAGTTAACTCTTTCTTCTCTCTTTCGCATTTTTCTTTTCTTTTCTGTTTTCGTTCTTTTTTTTTCTCTCAAATCGATTTTCTAAAACGAAGTAGTAAGAAAAGTGTAGATCGTAAAATGTTTCACTCTCTGTCTCTCTCTCTCTCTCTCTCTCTCTTGATTAAAATGATATCAATCCTCTTAATTAATTTGCCTCTTTATACACGTGTTATAATAATTATCTCTAGTTCAATGATATTCAATTTAATATCGTTAATCGATTGTTAACTGTGTTATACATTTTAATGTGTTATCGTATTAATTATTTATATAATATTTAATTATATATAATTATAAAATTATAATATATTTATATTATTATTATATATAATATAATATATAATATAAATTATATATTGCAATACAATTTAAATATATTTAAATTATACATAATTTAATTATATTATATATTTATTTCTATTCATTCGATTCGTGCAATATTATAACAATTAAATGTTATTTAATTAACTATAAATTGAATCCATGTTTAAAAAATATTTTCTTGATGGTTTCATTTTGGTAATTAAATGTTGATGCACACTTTTTCAAAAAATGTAATCATAGTTAATTAATTAAATTTGTATCAAAAACTACTGTGTTTTTTTATATTAAACTCAAATATTAATACTCGTTTATTTAATACAATAATTTCAAAATATTTAAATTGTTACTAATTTAATAATTACTTATAACACTTTTTTTTATTTAATATTTGTAATACTTGTTCTTTTACCGTTATAAAAGAATTGATTAACATGATTGATAATAAGGACAATGTTCTTAAATCAAAATTCAATCAAAGGAAGTTGATATCACTGTACGTGTTTTAGCAGTGTGCGAGTAACATTAGAATTCTGCTCGTGTTATGAAGAGGGGGGGGGAAAGGGGGTTCGAGTTGTATGTGACGAAGCAACAATTAGGCTTTCTGCACCTGAGAATATACGTCACTGATGTTCACATTATTTTCATTTAGTAGTATTAGAATGTGTAACTTCTAAAAATATCCTATTCTATATTGAAAATGTTCATTCTCATGGGAATCTCTCTTGGAAAAAAAAAAAATAAGATTGATCGTAGTACTATTTTGTTAATTAATTAATAGAAAAATAAAGAAATAGCAAATGGAACAAAAAGGAAACAAAATATATACGAATGAAGGACTAATGTTAAATAAAAAAAATAAAAAAACATGTGTGCTTGTCATACAAGTTAGAAGTAAAACCTTTAAATAAACACATTTCGAGGATAATTTATTATTTAATATTATTATAACATTATTTGTACTTTTAATTTGTAATAATTAATTTAATTATTAATTTAATTGTAAAAATGCGCGCCTGTTCGTATGCAACCCTCCAGACTTATTTTGAAAATGTTGCTTGCGAGCACCATCTACTGGGACGGAATTTTTTTGCAGTCAAAACTGTTTATACACGTATGTATGACGGGTTGCCTATCTTTCGGGCAGAAAAAAAATTCCGTCCCGACAGATGGCGCAACATTTTCAAAGTGTGTCTGGAGGGTTGCATGCATACAGGCGCACATTTTTATATAATAATTACAAAGAAAGTAAATAATAAAACACTTTACACACTACATTACGGTTTCGTTTTAACACTACATCATCGCGTCTCATTTTTTATTAAATCACATTCATTCTAAAGAAGTTTTCACTTCAATAATTTCAAATAATAATTTTGTTTTACCATCAATATACGACAAGTTGAAATTTCATTTTGGAATTAAACTTCTTTCAAAGTTAGAATACTTTTTAATGTGTTTCAAATAAGTAACAGATGTTATTGGAAACTATATTCTGTATCTATATACATATATATATATATATATATATGTGTGTGTATGTGTGTGACTGTATAAAATAAAATCGTTACAGTTGTTTAGCAATGTGAAATTATTGCGAATTTATTAAACTCAAAATGTTTCTGTTTTAATTAAAATATTAAATAAATGATGACAATCGTGATTAGAATTTTTGACGAAAAATAAAACAATAGTATTTTGTTTTTTTTTTATAAGGAAGTATTATAGAATTTTGGAAAATCTTATTTGATACAACCTGTAGCATATATACAACAAGTTAGAGGAACATTCAGTCACCCATACTCGTACACACGCACGAGGTGGTACTTTTGAAACTTGTATAATTGCTTGTGTCGTTACAATATCGTTTCGTACTCCTCTTCGATCGAATGAACTTGGTACGTGAGAGAGAAAGAGAGAGAGAGAGAGAGATACGCCGATCATGCAAAATTCCTTTCCAAGAAGCAAAACAGTTGTCTTAATTAGATTGAATTAAACTAGTGCAATTAGGTCGGTGCAATTAATCAATTTTCTTTTGAAACGTTGTAGACTTCTTCAATTCGAAGAAATACAATTTTTTCTATTCTACGTCTGACTAATTGCCGATCTTTTCTACTTAACGCGTTTAAATCTTCTTTTTATCTTCATTTTTACTTTTTCTACTACTTGCAAACAGATATATATATATATATATATATATATATATATATATATATATATATATATATATATGTTATTTTATTTTCTTGTTGTTTTGTATTCACAAATATTTGTCTATGATATTATATATTTGTGTTAGTGTTTGTTTTTTATTAAATAAAAAAAAACAAAAAGGATATATCAGAAAAAATGTGTTCCTAAGAAAATAAAATAACAAATATAATCTTATGGGTACATATAAGTATACATTGATTCATACCTATGGCAGTTTTCGTTCGTACTGTACGAGAATATCCCATGGGATGAAGAATAGCCCAATAACGATCTACGGATACTGCCACAAGGCAAAAGATACTGATAGTGCAAAGTACGACCAATACCGATACCGTGAAAAGACATGCGTGTAAATTTGTTGGTAAACCTGTGAAAAAGAAACAAAAGTAATATATAATTTATAAAAATATATATATATATATATATAAAATTTATATAAAATATTATTATATATAAAAATTTCCACTTAAAAATTGTCACAAGTAATTAATTCGATTAACAATAAATATATATATATATATATATATATATATATATTACATATTATATTATTAATTAATTAGAAAAATTCTCGATTAAATTTAAGTATATATATAAGTAATCAAAAAAAATATATTATCGGTCCTATTTTATTTGAGAAACGATTTCGATTAATACGAACTAAGTTTTAAATGGTACAGCTCGTTTACGATGCGACCTTAGAATTAACGTTTCCTTTTGACCAACCATTACATTAACTTGCACGTTACGTCACATATCGCACGATCCTTTTTTAAAATACTACAGTAAACCTTTAGTATGTATATATATATATATATACTAACACAATATTATGATATTAATAAAAATCGTGACGATATATATATATATAATGAATTTATTATCAAAATATTATTATCTATGTATTATTACAAACCTATACTGGCCAATATCGCAAAAGGTATGGCAAATAAACCAACTAAAAGATCAGCTGTTGCCAATGATATGATATAATAATTCGTACGTCTTCGTAATTTTTTTTCTTTGCCAAATACTATGATGACCAAACCATTTCCAAATACAGCACATATTGCTACGAGTATTTCACAAACGGTGTATGGTAAATTAAGTTGATTGTAATTAGTATTAGTACTGATATTAAAGCTATTGTTGTTGTTGTTGTTGTTGTTGTTGTCAATAATGTAATCGTAATTATTAGATAATTCGGTAACGTTTGATGGAAATTCTTCCATCACGATTTTTATCTTCTTTTAATTATTTTATTTTTTTTTTTTTTAATTTTTTTTCTTAACAAATTATCTTTCCTTACCCTCGTCTATTTTTTTCTTTTTTTTTTTCAGAGGGATTTTTTATTCTGTTTTTTTTTTTTTTTCAATTTTCTTTTCACTGTCTTCTTATTTCTGTTTTTTTTTTTTTTTTCTAGTTTCTACGTTTTGTTCTATGAGATATCTTTTTTTTTTCTTTTCTTTTATTTTCACGTTCGTGTTCTTCGTCGTTGTCGCACCTCCCTTTTTCTTTCTTTTTTTTTTTTAATGGCCTTCGCGTGATACCATTAAAAACCTTTTCTTTATTTCTTTCTTTCTTTCTTTCGTCAATTGACACGCATTTTCTACTGACCAAGAGAGAGAGAGAGAGAGAGAGAGAGAGAGAGAGAAAATACAAAAAAAAATAAAACTAAATGTTTCTCGTTCGTACACGAGTAAACTTCCTTCCCTTTTGGTTTTTTTCCCTTCTTTTTTTTTTTTTTAATTTATAAACGTTTGTTTTTTCGTAACACGCGATTTCTCAAAGATCGTACGAGATCAACGAATTAGGGGAATATTTTTTATTGATAATCATCATTCTCTTCTAATGATAAAAAATTCGTATTCTATTCTATCGATTAGTATTATTCATTTATTATTTTATTTCATTATTTTGTCTTTATCTTTATCTTTTAATCTTTCTCCAATAATTCGTAATTTGAATTAAATGTTGATAAAATGACATTTCTCATTTTTTCTCTCGTCATTGTTTTAACAATAATTTTAATATGAAACACGGTACATCTAATCAATTCAATGATTAATAAAAACATTTTGTTTGTTTGTTTGTTTGTTTTTTTTTTTTAATTTATAATATATATATTAAATAATTGTCATTACAAAATAATTGTATCTATCATGTTTGATCACTTTTTTTTTATTTCTTTGTTTCCTTTTCTTTTCGTTTCGATAATAAAAGTAAAATGATCAAAATAGATATTCATTAAATTATATTCATTCACTTTTGGCAAGGATTAACGAAAGATCATCTTTCATGATGATCATCGAATATCGATATTAATCAAGTTGTCGTAAATGGATCGGATCGTCGTCGTCGTCGTCGTCGTCTTCGTCGTCGTATGTTGTAACGTGAGATATTATTAGATGATTATATCTACTTCAGATAGAACTTTCTTCTACTTAAGCACAAATGTAATTTTCAAAGTTTTGAAATGATGACATGATTGAAAGTTTCAATAAATACTTCGTGTAAGTAACGAAGTATCTCGTTTATATCGTCTTACCAATGAATCATTATCGATTATATACGTTTCAATTATTCGTCATTTTTAAAATCATCATTTTCCTTCGTGTCCTTCCATTTCACACATCTTTACATGCATTTACATATATACATATATATATATATATAGAAAACTTTTGTGAACAATTTCTTTAATTCAAAATCAAAACTCACTTGTAATATGTTACTTATATATGTGTGTATGTGTATATATATATATATATATAGGATTGTTAATAATAATAATAAATAGTTTATATTTTTAACACGAAACAACACTTTTTGAAAAAACAAATGATCGAATCGGGAAAGTAGTCAATTAAAAAAAAATCAACCAATCGTAGTTAACCGCGTGAGCCAGAGCCGGTCAAATGAAAGGGCGCGAAATTTCAATCGATATACTTTTTGCAAAATTATATGAAAATATCTTGATCACTGTATATTTTCATGATTAAAATGACATTCATTAGATGATTTTGTCACTTAATAATTATTTCGAACTATGATGAAACGAAAACTATGATAGCGTCCGACTTCTCAACCCTGTTGCGTGTAACTGAGTGGCTCCTCATGACACACAGGGACGTGCTACTGTGAAGGTGGGTGGAAATGGGTAGAGGAATTGAAGATGGTGGTGGTGGTGGTAGTGGTTGGTGGTGGTGGTAGAGGTGGAGGAAAATGGAGGTGATTGAATCGATGTGTTGGTACTATACACACACACACACATACAAATCTATACACTCATAGTAAAGAATAAAAGTCTATGGAAGCTTCCTAGCATTCACAACTTTTACGAACTTCCCATTATCTTCCTAATATAAAGTTTCAGTTTTATATTTAATAAATTACATTTAATACGAACATTTGGATTTTACATTTAAATGAACTAATTATTATATTATATATTTCTTTGTTATATATATATGTAAAAAAAAAAAAAAATTATAAATAAGAATAATTTGAGTTTACGTTTCATACTTCAAGAAATTCTACTGAATTTCACAGAAAGTGTTCATCTTTTGTTAACTTATCGTAAAAGTTAATATAAATCTTTGATAAAAGTTTCATTTCTATAATTTGATTTATATCAAAAAATGAGAATAAAAAAATCATAGATAGAATGATTCATTTCATTTCATTGTTTTTTTTTTTTTTTTGCTTATTTGTAATATTATTTGTTTCGTGTTTTTCTTCAAAGATGGTTAAATAGAAAGGGGGAAAGGGTATAATGAAGTGAGACGGAAGGGATGAAAAACTTATCGTAATTAGATATAATAAATAAAAATGTAAGAACATTAAATCAGAATCGGATTGCTGTCAAGGTTGACCGGAAAAATAATTTTAAACATTTATCGTTCTACATTTACTGTAGCAGCTTGGTGGTTTTGTGATATATATTTAAAGTGAGATATCATGTTCTCTCAGGTATTACGAAAGATTAACTTCTGTGACACGCGTTTCAATGATTTTAATAAAAAGTTGAACTAAAAAAAAAAAAAAACAAAAAAGAAAAAAAAGGAAGGATTTGATTTTAATATTTTAGGATTAATTATATTCTTCATATTGATATGTAGAAACTTAGATGATATTTATATTACATATATATATATATATAGTATATTATATAGGTAATATTGAAATATAAATATATATATTAATATTATAATATTATAATATAAAATTAAATATTATATATTACTACATATATAATATTATTTTATTTTAGTTATTATAGTTATATATTTTTATTTTATATTAATATTATAATATTATAATATATATAATATAAAATAAAAATATATATAAAAAACTATAATAACTAAAATAAAATAATATTATTAAATAATATT